TAGTGAGCCCTACTGAATCACTGTTGCAAATGTTAAAGAATTCAATGATTAAGTGCTGCTAATGGATGCTTTATCTTTGCATCCATATTCTTCACACCTTTACCTGCTTTTGCATTCCCAGATTCCATATAAATAATTTCAAATTGCTTCTAATTTGATCTTCCTTTTTATGCTTTAACCTGTGCAGTAAATAGTAGAGTGAACCTTGCCATCAAACTCTTCAAGTTGCATTTCTACAAATTCATGCTAATTCATACTGCTTTTGCCCATACCTTTGGTGATGTTTCTTTAAGCAGCCAAACCACTCATTTCTGAGAGCTGTAAGAAGAGGTTTCTACCAGGTAGGTGTGCCTGGTTCTGTGACAAACTTTGAGGACCCACCTTGTGTGGATTGAACTGTTTTATTTGCCCCCTCCTACATCTGGTTCCTTGGTTTTCTGCTTCAGCTGAAATATAAAAAAATAATTTATTCGCCCAGGCTGTGGCACCTCATCAGATGAGGCCTGTGATGCTGTTATCTTGGATTGGCAATGACACCAAGTGCCAAGTAAAGGTTTGTGTTCTGGGCAAATCCTTATACTGGTGTGATGTTTTCATTCTTGCTCACAGCAGGGAGATCAAGCAGAAGAATGGGTTGCAGATAGCTGAAGAGAAAAAAGCTCTGGGAATTTATTACTTTTTTTTTTTTTCCACAGAAAGGATAATAATAAAAAAAAGGCAGCACCTCTTGGCAAACAGTTATATTAAGTACAGTTTGCAAAAACTGTGTATGAAAATAAGTTAAAATTATTTTGATTGTTCATGAGAAAGGAGACAAAGAAAAGGTAACATGGTAAAAGAATTAAAAAGGATGTGGTTGCAGAAGGTGGGAACATCTGCTCTGCTACTTCTAAAGACAGAATTTGGACAATTCAAGCTAACAAAAAGTAGAAAACATATAGAAAGTAAAATAATTTTTGTTCTGTGTGTGACTGACTGTGGAACTCACTCCACTAGAAAAGTTTCAGACTTAATATACAAACTAGAATCAGTCATTTACACAGAGATGAAGAACAGCATGAGCACTAACAACTATATATATATAGAAAGATAAATAAATACTGAGCTTAAGTTGCTCAGAAATTATTGGAAGCAGAAAGTACTTGTTAGAGAGTCCTTACACCTGAGTCAGAAATGTTTCTGACAGCCCCTGCCAGCCAGAACTTTGGCCACAGCTATGGTCTAGGGTCACAGTTTATTTTGTGGCTGTTGCATAGACAGCATCACATCGATTGATTTCGTTTTAGCTTCCCTGGTAATTTTGTTAAACACTTGCTGGTGGCTGTGAACTCGCTTCTGTTCCAGAGTTATTCTTTGGAAGTGTTTTTCTTTCCTTAAAAGTAATTAAATACTCTGAAGTTAATCAGAGACCTCGTGTGCTTTTTTACATGTCACAAGGTCATGTATCTTGGGCTGGTGACAGGATTGCAAATGGAGACAGAGTGGTCAGAGGCTGCACTAATCCCTGGCATGAGGGATATGGAGGGGCAGCAAATAAAACAGGGTCTATGTTAAGTGGGTGGGCAAATGCTTTTGAAAAAATCCTCTAAACAGACTGATTCCTCTTTTCCCCATGTGTACCCGGCTAGCATTGTTTTGTGTTTTCCCTGGGTGCTCTGGAGCTGATCCTGGGAGATTTTCCTTCCTGAAAGCCACAGGAAGAGACTTATTGTCCATGTACTTGTGAAAGTATTCCTCGAGTTCAGATGAAGAAATTTAAATAGCCCATGCTGCACGACATCTTTTTAAATCCTTGCTCACTCCAAGCTGTGTAGCTGCTGCTAAGGGAAAGTTTGGGGAAGTCCACCTGCCACAGAAATCCTTTTGTGATTTCCTGTAAAAATTCATGCCAGATATAGATTTATACTTGGTTAATTTGCTTTCCTACTAAATATTCCTGCCCCTCACACTCACACATGCTCCCTCTGCATAAACTAAATATTTCTGTGTTTGAGCTGTAATGCCCCAGTGATGGCCACAAATAAAAATACAGCACAAAATGCAGCAAAACCTTTCAGCAGCAAATAGCTTCAGTAAGGTGGCTTGTGTTCATTGCTGCAGTAGGATGAAACTCAGCATTTCAGTGCAAACAAGCAAGTAGTGTCTCAGGGCAGCACACAGCTTCAGAAAAGCTTTGGTGTAGTTGGGAAAAAAAAAAAAAAAAAAAACCAAACCAAACCAAACACAGCTTTGGTGTAGTTGGAAAAAAAAAAAAAACCAAAAAAACCCCACAAAACAACCAATCAAGAACCAAACCAGTTTTTATATTCCTCACTGTGTATGCAGATGTGTGTACGGATGATTTTTAACTTGTCCTATGCAATGACACAGGTGGTATTTCCTCCTTTTTTTTTTCTTTTTTTTAACAGAAATGCAGATGGACATATTTTGCATGCCTGTTTTGTAGAAAGCAGGGTGTTTTGGCTCTCAGGGTCCCCATGTTTTTGAAATGCTGAAAATTTCAAAGGAAATGACTGATTATATCCCTCCCTGTGGGGCTCCAAGTAAGCACAGACTGAAACAGGACTGTGACAGCCCTGCACGGGACTGGAGAGCCTCTGGTTTTTGCTCTGACCCCAGCCCAGAAGCAGCCCCTGATACAGATGTGGGACAGGTGCAATTTGAAGGAGATAGGAAAAAAAAAAAAAAAAAAAGAAATGAAAATTTCCTGAAGTACTTATTTCACCAGAATGCTTAGACAAGACTCCTTCACACTTCAAGGCACATCCTTCTTTCTTTTTTTCTTTTAATATTTAGAAACAATTAATAATAACAGTAATAAGAATAAAAATGTCTAGCTCTTCACATGTGTAATGAGGGCTGCAAAGCTGTAAAATAAGGACTTCTCTTATTGTGTCAGCAATTTAGCTTGATGCTGGCTTAAACTGCCTTACAAGAGGAGCAAAGAGCTTACACTGGCCACAGCTCCAACCCTGAGACTGCAGATCAGGCCAGCAACCAGGGAAAAAGAGCCTCGTGGCACCTGTGTGAGGGGACAGGACTGCTCCTGCAATCTGGTTAAACAGAGGAGCAGGGAAATCCTCTTTTTCGAAGAGGGCACCTGAGCCAGCTCTGTCAGAACTCGTTCGTGCTGCTGTTCCCAGGGCTCACAATGCAGCAGCGAATTTGGGCACTGAAATGGCCCCATCTCAGCTGCAGGAAGGTCCTGCAAGACAGGGCAAATTCGTCACACAGCTCAGCCCCTCCTTTGGCAGGGGAGACCAGGGAGGGTTTGGGTGGTGATAATTCCCTCCTTGGCGAAGGCAGCCCAGGCCAGGGCTCCCCTCTTTGTCCGGGGCTGTGGGTGATGCTGTGCAGTCCAGGCACGGCACAAGCAGAAAACCACCCTCTCCCTCCAGATCTCCCTGGCAGATCTGTTCTGTCACACTCAGCTCTCTTCTTTTTAACAACGCTTTTCCCTCCCCTCCCCTTGAAGTTTTCCAGTCTTGACCAGCAGTTTCGATGTCACCTCTTCAAATGTCACCTCCGATCCCCTCCTTCACCCTGGCTGCCCTTCCCCAGATCATTTCTACACTCTTCATTTAAAAAAAACCAACAAAATCAGCATCACCACTACATCCTTCCCTCCTAATCTGGAGTACTGCATCTGCCCTGGCTGGGACAGGCTCAGGGCAGAGCCCAGTGGAGGCCACACAGGGCCCCGTGGGCAGGGCAAAGGCGTGGGGACAGCAGGTGCCACCCTGCTTGGCCTGAGGAGCCGGGGCATTGGGGTGCTCCTGGAAACCTGCACTGGCTGCCCAGAAAAAAACCCTCAGGGCTGGGCTGCCAATCGGAATGGAAGCAAGAGCTGCTCAGAAAGCACCTGGAAATGTCTGCGTGCGTGCCCAGCGGCTGTGCCCGTGTGTCTGGGTGTGCCCATGTGTCTGCACGCTGTCACACACACACGCCTGTGCGTCCCCAAGTGCCCGCCTGGCCCGGCACTGCCAGGAGAGCTCTGGAGCTCAGCAGAGCCCTGCCCGGGGTGGCACCTGGCAGGGTGGGCACCTCCGGGGCCCCGGCAGCACCACGGGCACGGACACGGGCAGGGATCATCCCAGGGAGCGCTACAAGGGCTGGGACAGAGCGAGCACGGGACTGGGAATGCCCCAAACTGCCCCAGCAGGGAAATCACCCTCTAGGAAGTGCACCTCACAGCCCCCGGCTCAAAATGAAACATTAAATTTAAATTATCGTTTTTAAGGAAAAATCGGGAGGGTTGTGTAGGGATAGAGTTTTGTTGCTTTTTTTTTAATGTATAAATAAAGGCAATTTGGGTGCTGCAAATATAAAACGAAAATACACCTAATTCCGTCATCATATAGATATAATATATTTCACTCTCACCACATAAATACAAAACATCCAAATATCCAAAACATTCAGAACAAAAGTTAGTAGCAAGGGCTCAGCGCTCGATTCATTCATTATTTTTTCGACTAGTTGCCTAGAAACTTCAGACGTAAATAATTTACAATAAAATTACTATTTTCTTTTCATCCAGCTCCTTCTGTCCAGTCTATAGTTAATTCTATATTCTACAGCAACCATTCCACTTTTTGTAATTTTTTTTTTCTTTTTTGGTTACAGTTTGGTGGCACGTATTTATACAGTTTGTAAACGCCATGTGTTAAAGTTCAAAGAAAGAAAAGAAACTTAAAACCAAAGTAAATAAATTTTTCCCCCAAAGAACTACCTACGTACAGCATCCCTTTTGTGGCAAATTCAAGTACCAAAATTGAACAGAAAATATTCGATTCAGAATACTAGAAGGTGAAATACATATGTTTGTGGAGAAAATAGCAGTAAGAATTATGAAATAAAAAAAGAAGTTTGTTACATAGATATGTTTTAAAGTACAAAAATAACAATAAAAGATACGCTTTTTATATTTTACGTTCGTTTTAAATGAAGTGTGAGCGATTTGCGAGAGGGTTGTTTTAGGAGGAAGGAAGGCTACAGGGTTTTTTTGTGTTTAGATGAACACTGAAATTATTTGGAAATATCAAACAGAGCAATAAAAATTAAAATTACGATCGCAACAGGTCTAGATACAAATAGATTTGTGAGTTCCGTGATTTATCTGCAGACTTGTTTTTGCAGATAAGCTTTGCGGGACAGGCCCGTCGGAATTCAAATTAAAAAAAAAAAAAAAGAAAGGAAAAAAGGGGGAAAAGGGGGGGGAACGTTGTGTTATCTCGAAGGAAGAGACAATTTTATGCAAAATTTCTGCAGCCACTGGCTTCTGTCTCCCCTATTCGTGACTGTACGTTCAGTCCGTTTCGGCCCTTCCCACATTCAAGATTTCCCGTGAAAAAGAAAAGTTGCTGGAGGGTTTCCTGACGGGTGCTAAGGGCTCGCTCGGGGCTGTAGTGCAGCGAGTGTGGGGGTACACGGGGGCCACAGGCGGGGCCCCAAAAACCTTTGTGCTTACAAATCACTGAGTCCGGGAGACACAAAAAAAAACCACCCCTAAACGGGCATCACCTGGCAGCTCCATCCTCCTCTCTCCGAAACGCCGCTCCCTGGCTCGGCCTTGGCCAGAGCCGATGGAAGGGAGCCCGGCCGAGCCTCGCCCCGGCCGCTGACCCTCTGCGTCCCTTCCCGGACAGCGCGACCGCCCCTCCCGCCCGGACAGACGCAGGGCGGCAGCAGGCCCGGCAGCCCCGGCGGGGACAGCAGCCGGCCCTGCTCCAGCAGCCGCAGCACGCTGCAGGTGGCGGCGGTCTCGGACACCACCGAGCGCAGCTCGGAGTCCTTGCCTTGGTCTTTCTTCTGCTTGGTGCGCCGGTTCTGGAACCAGACCTTGACCTGCAGGGCCGGGGAGAGAGGCAGGGTCAGCGGGGCGCCCCGGGACCCCGGCGCGGCTCCGCGGGGCGGGGGGAGGCTGCGGGGGAGGGAGCGCACGCTCTTGGCAGCGGGGAGCGCTTCCAGAACGCACAAAGCCACCGGCACGGAACGCAACCCCCCACACCCTCCGTCTGTTCCCGGTTTCGGGGTGACCCCGGGGCCTTTCGTTCTGCATCTTTAACCAGACCTCTCGCTTCGTCCTAGTTTACTACAGGCCGGGAATTCTCTGGGAGACGGAGCCAGCCCTTTCTCACCGCTTTATTCTAAGCCGGCTCGGCCGGAGCCCCGGGCGCTCCGCGGCTCCCAGCAGCCGCTGCCCGCTCCGACTGCCCTTGCTGGGGGTAACAGCAGCAATGAGCTTCTTGCCCGAATTCCAAACTGGACACTCTCTCTCCACCCCCAAATAATTTTAAATAATATTCAACTTTTAAAGGGAATTCTGGAAGTCACCCAAAAAACAACAAACAAAACCAAAACCAAACCAAAACACAACAAAACCCACCCATGGCAGGTTCTGTAACCTACAAGCTGTTGAACTTGTCACTCCTATCCGGCAAGGAAAGAAAAAAGCTAATTATCGTGTCAGGAAAATTTACTGTTATATGATTTGTGGAAATACGAAACCGGCTTTAAGAACTTTGGACTTTTTGGATGCTTCCCCGCGCTCTTACAGAGTTGTAGGCCTGCTGTCGGTCCCCGGCCTTTCTGCCCTGGAGGGTGGAGGAGCGATTCTCCCCCTCGGACACACAAGGACTCAAAATACGGCCCAAACTTCAGCCCCATCCCTGGATCTCTCATACCCAGGAAAGCCCAGGCCGAGCGTCTCCAGCCCGGCAGCCCCGGGGGAAGGTGCCCATCTCCCTCTGCGAGTTTGAGCGCCTGCATCCCGCTTGCTGCGGGCTGGGAGCGCCTCGGCCTCCCCTCGCTTCTCCCCGGCCGCAACAGCGCAATCTCCGCGCCCGGGGGCGGCCGGCTCCGCGCACCGAGCCTGGCGGGCCCGAGCGGATCATCCCGCGGGCCGGGGGAGCCGCTCCCGGCCCGGCAGGAGTTTGGCTTCGTGGCCAAGCTCCCTCCGAGACCCTCAGGCCAGGGTGAGCCCAGTGGGGCTGGTGCAGGCACACGAGGGACCCCCTTGGCAGCAGTCCCCTTCCCTAGACACACGTAATTAGGGACACACGCAGTTAGGGACACGCTGAGTTAGGGACACACGGAGTTAGGGAAACACGCAGTTAGGGATACGCTCTGGGACACACTCAGGGACACACGCAGTTAGGGACACACGCAGTTAGGGACACGCTGAGTTAGGGACACACGGAGTTAGGGATACACGCAGTTAGGGATACACGCAGTTAGGGACACACTCAGGGGCACACTGAGGGACACACGCAGTTAGGGACACAGGCAGTGAGGGACACAGTGAGTTAGGGACACACTGAGTTAGGGACACACGCAGTTAGGTATACACGCAGTTAGGAGCACACGCAGTTAGGGACACACTCAAGGACGCACTCAGTGACACACTGAGTTAGGGATACACAGAGTTAGGGACACACTGAATTAGGGACACACTGAGTTAGGGGCACACGCAGTTAGGGACACACGGAGTTAGGGGCACTCGCAGTTAGGGGCACACGGAGTTAGGGACACACTGAGTTAGGGACATACGGAGTTAGGGGCACACGCAGTTAGGGGCACACGCAGTTAGGGGCACACGCAGTTGGGGACACACGGAGTTAGGGGCACACGGAGTTAGGGGCACACGCAGTTAGAGACACACTCAGGGACACACGCAGTTAGGGGCACACGCAGTTAGGGACACACTGAGTTAGGGACACACGGAGTTAGGGGCACACGCAGTTAGGGGTCCCCAGCCGGGACTCCTCAGCCGCGAGCCCCTCAGCTCCATGCCGCGGCGGGATGCCTCCCCCGGCCGGACACGCGTGGGCCCCTCGGGGCTGCCTCGGCTGCGCTGGGGGCGCAGGAGGCGCGCAGGGCCGCGTCCTTGGGGCGCGCAGGGCACGGAGATGCCCGGGCCGGGAGGGGAAGGGGTCCCGCAGGGCAGGGCGGGCGCGGGTCCCGTCCTGCAGGCGCTACCTGAGTCTCGGAGAGATTGAGCTGGCGGGCGAGCTCGGTGCGCTCCCGCCCCACCACGTACTGGCAGCGCTGGAACTCCATCTCCAGGCGGTAGAGCTGCTCGGCCGTGAAGGAGGTGCGGGTCCGCTTGGGACGGTCCAGATCAAGCCCCTTAGGTAGAATAATCTCTCGGATTGAACCTTTGGCATCTGGCAAAGAAAGGCGCAGTCAGCTTCATACCCAGGCAACCCTTCTGTGCTTTTCATTCCCTTTTTATGCTTTCTAATTTTTCCAAGGGAAAGAGCCGTCCCCAGCGCCTTCAGGACCGAGACACGAGTCGGGATGGAGCAGGGTCCCTGCGACTGAGGCTCTGCACCTGGCCACTGCACCCACGGAAGGAAAAAACCCACAACAGAGAAGGAAGGAGGGGGCGATGTGGGCCCAGGCCTCTATAATTAATCCCCTCAGCCCATTTAAAAATTACTTTGAATATATTGCACTCACAGTACGACACTGCGGCATCACTCACGGCCCCTCTGGGAAGCTGGGGAGAGAGAGATCCTTCAGGCCAGGCTTTGTGCCTGGAGTGCAGGGCTACTCTTTGTTCCCCTTGGGCTAGGACTTGCTGGTAGCCACCATACACATTCCGTCCCCCACCCCAAAATATAAAACACTTCTTATTATTTTTTTTAATAACAAGTTTCTCATGCTTCCAAAAAAAAATGTTAAAAAATTTAAAAAAAAAAAGGCTTTCCGAGGCAGCAGTGCCCCGACCTGGCTGCCTGCCACTGTGAACGTGGGGACACCTCCAGCCCACCCTGCACCGCTGCCGCTTTGGGGTTTTGGCAACGAGAAGCAGGAGGGAAAAAAAAAAAAAAAAAAAGGAAGGGGGGGTGGGGAGGGAAAGAAACCAAGGCACCAACCAGCCCGCAGAAACCTCACTTTTCTGGTAGCCCCGACTGAAGGAAAGCGGGACAAATCTCATTAACACGACTGTCATGCTAGAGCCAGATTCGGGTTACCTTAAAGCCTTCCCAACTTTACTTGCCGTAATTTTACCTCCTCGGTACGTTTTAAATCAGAGACAATCACATCATTTTAATCTGACCCTTCTCTGGGTCAGCCAGTGGCGTAAGGATTAATTCTGGCTTTCAAGGCCTGCTTCCCACATATTTTGTTCCGATTCTCTTCTCTCCCTCCTCCTCCAAAACGCACCTTAATAAAACTGAAATTTCTTCAGGTAATTTTTTTTTTTTGGGGGGGGAGTAAGAATAAGATGATTTAGAGACGAGAAGGGGAGGAGACGGGAAGAAGACTGAGGAAAATTAAACGCATAACTATTAAAAAATAATAATAATTATAAACGCCTCCGTCATTCCTCCATTTATTTTAAGGCCGGCGGCTATTTTAAAACAGCCCTTTCCTGCGGGCTGCCGGACTCGGAGAGAGGGGGCACAGAGGGAACCTGTGCCCTCCGAGAGGGCCTCGCTGCCCGCAGCCCCACGCCGGGATGCGCGGCCGCGGAAGGAGCGCGCCCGGCCCCGGGGCAGAGGGAACGCTGTTCCCGGAGGGCTCCCCGCGGGCACGGGCACCCCGGGAAAGCTGCAAAGCAGGAAAGAAAAAAACAAAACAACAAAGAGCGGGGCTGGTCCGCTCCGGGGCAGCGCCGGGGAGGAACCACCGCGGCTTAACTTTTCGCCGAGACGCCGGCGGAAATTCCCCGGGATAAAACCCCCGGGAGCGGGGTCCAGGGCACGGCCCGGCCGGGAGCGGGGTCTCTCCCCCGCAGCCCTAGGAAGGGCTTTCAAACCCAGGGCCAGACCCAAGGCAAAGCGACAAAATCAACCCATCTCCCGGGCGTGAGCGCGGCTCACCTTCCCCCACCCTCGCCAAACACCTCAAACTCATACCTCTAACTAGGATCCTCCTGCAATAGTCCGGATCAGCCGAACTAGATTTACTTTTATTACAACCTTCCGTAGCTGCAGAGGCAGAAAAAGTCCCTTGCTGATCCTTCAAAAAAGAAGTAGAAATATTTCCTTCAGACCCTTTGCTTTCCTTGCCCTCTTTATGTCCGTTCTTCGAGACCCGGTTAGCTTCAGTCTCTGAACTGCATCTAACGTCCATTTTGTCTTGTTTCCCAAACATGTAGTGCAATAAAAACAAAACAAAAAAAAAACACCAAAAAAAAAAAAAGCGCCAACAACGATAACAAAAAAATTATAGAAGAGTAGAAGAAGAAGAAGAAGACGAAGTCTATGCTGGATATTGCACGACTTAGGGTGAGGTCGGTGGGGATCTGTAAAGCACCTTGAGTAAGGAAGATCGGGTTTTATCCCACTGGAAAAGCAGCGGCTTCCTCAGTCCCAGCGTCCTAATGTGACTGTCCAGCTTCCCAGAGCGCCCAGTGATCAGGTACTCAACAGTACAACTCTAAAATGATTTAATGTCTGCCTTATTACAGAGACATGTAGTTGTTAGACACACAGAGGGACGCGCACTCGCTGTTTCAATTGATTACGGGTAATTTTGCAGCCTCCACATTTAGGTTACCTCATGAATACACTAAATTGTTTGGATAATATATCAGATCGTAATGGATGGTTTGTGTGCTTGTCCCCAATCAAGTAGAGTTTAGCCAGTGAATAAACTGAAATGATTGGTCTTGCTTTCAGGAAACACACAATCAAAAGACTGAGACTTCCAGAAAAAAAAAAAAAAAAAAAAAAAAAGGAGAGAGGAAAAAAAGGGTGGGGGAGAGGGAAAAAAACCCAACTTTTGACAAGATTCACCCTGAATTGTTAGCACCATTAGCAGCCATTATTAACTTTCTTCAGTCTGCCTTTGACCTCCCGATTATATAGTGGCTTTCTCCAAAGCACGCCAAATAAATCTGAATAAAGCTGCTAGGAAAGGCTGAAAAAATGCAGTTGCAGGGGGGGTGAAGAAAAAGCAAAAAAAAAAAAAAAAAAAAGCCCCCTGAGTTGTAAACAAACAAACAGATCCCCGGAACGCACACACATAAAAAGTTCTTCCTCCAGGCAGATCTCTCCAAGGAAGCAGGTTATCTTGGCCAGCAGAAATCCTCGTTAACACATCTCCCCACAGACAGCCATCTTAAACTCCTACCTCTCCTTATTTCAGTCCCGATACTTGCTTTTTGTGCTTCTCCCTCTGTGTGTGTGTGTATGTGTGCATGCATGTGTGTCTGCTAATTCTGCACCTTCGCAAACACTGAACCTATTCGCAGAGCCTGCTCATTGAAAAAAAAAAAAAAAAAAAAGAGCCAGCTTTGTGTGCAGTGGATCCAGGAGGGGGGAGAAAGAGAGAGGGGGAGAAAGAGGGAGAGAGAGAGGGAGGGAGGGAGGGAAGGAGGGAGAGAGAGAGAGAGAGAGAGAGAGAGAGAGATAGCCCGTGAAAAATCTCAACTGCGTGATCCACTAAAGGAGAAAAAAGTTTTACTCTAGCTATTTCATTGTCTCTGCTACAATATCTTTGAGAACCGCAACAGCCAGTAATCCAATAAGACCATTGATTAGGCTACAATGATTCAATTCAAGCAAATGGCCTTGTGCAAAGAGCATGCTCCAGTCCTTCTTGTCACCTTGCAGGGCAGAAGCCCTCTTCATGCTTCTCTCCTTATTCATTCCTTTATGGGAAATGTAGAGCAAAAGGAGTGAAAGATGGCAATTATCTAATTGGACTATTAACAAACAATTCTCTGAGTGTGGCTGTCTGGCAGTGGTTCTTGGGCGAGGTGAAAGGCCACATGTTGCACTGGCCCCATTCACAAAGAGTTTAGGGGCCTGAGAGGGAGAGAAAGAATTTTCCCTGAGAATTTTTCGCACAAATGGCGGTGTATCCACCAGGCTGGCTGTTCCCTGCCTCGTCCTCTGCCTGCCTGGGAATTCCACCCACCTGAAGCAGGCAGGGCCAGCCCCGTGGCTTGGTGCAGATGGGAGAAGCAGAGCACGGCGCCCTGGCTCAGCTCCATGGGCCTCATCCTGCCTCTGCTGGTGGAAAAACCACCCACCCTCATCCCATGGGACACAATCTTTGTCCAAGGTGGAGTAATGGAGGGAAGGATCCAGTGCTGGGGCCCAATCACCGTAAACAGGAAATTCATGGGAGGCAAAAAAAGAACGGGGGGTGGGGAGGGTGGAAAAGGACAGGGGAAAGGAAAGGAAAGGAAAGGAAAGGAAAGGAAAGGAAAGGAAAGGAAAGGAAAGGAAAGGAAAGGAAAGGAAAGGAAAGGAAAAAATTAAAGGGAAAAATAAAAAAAGAGAAAATAATAAAAAGAAAAATAAGATGGCAGTTCATAGGTACATTTCAGTGAGTTGTCTTTAGTGGAAATCTCAAATCTTTGTCATTTTTCCACAAATCTCCATAATTTATTTATATTGACATTGCCTGAAAAGCCAGATTGAGATTGGTGAGGTGTGCCTAAGATCTTCATCAAACCCTCTCATTTCAACTGTATTTATACACACAACCAGACGTGGAACATCCTCATTATGGACCAGGTTTCTTTTTTCCTTACAGCCAGTGCATCTCAGTGATCTGTGGTGCTCTGTTGTTATCAGCTCCTGCTTGTATGGCAGCCTTACCCCAAATAAACCCCAGCCCCCTGTGCAGGCTTCATCCAGCTGCAGAGAGAGGATGGAAGAGTGCATTTCCTCCATGGGTTTGCTGTGCTGTTCAAAGGCCTGTTGGGTGACAGGATACCAGGAAATCTCCGATACATTTCAGGCAGATTTGGTCTTTCAAAAGGAAATGCAACAAGTGGGTGCTGATTAGGGAAATTTTTAATGTAGCTGAAGTAGAGGCTGGGCTTGGCAGGGCAGCTTTGTTGTGTGATATAGGTAAACATACACATGTGTGTGTGCCAGGCAAGGCAGCACCAACAGTCCCAGCTGGACATGGCTGTTTAATGCTAAACAAAACAAAGTTCTGCTGCAAACATTTCTACCTAACACATTTTATTTTAGACAGAATAGGCGTAGTGATTCCTGTAAAAGGTTTACTGTGAAATGCAGAGGCAATTAGAATTATATTTGCATAGGTGTGTGGGTGTATGTATGACATTCCCCCCATAGTTTTCTTTATGCTAATCTCTATGCATATGCCATAATAATAAACATGGAGCTATTGAACTCAATTACACTGTTTGAAGCAGAAAATCTGGAGATTAAATATTATATTTGTGTGATAATCTGGCTTTTTTTTTTGACAAGTCCCTGATCCAAAGCTCAATAAAGACCAGGGGAATTTTGTTCTACTTATGCTATATTACAATACGTACATTTGAATGATCTTTTTGTCCATAGAATTCAGTGGTATAAAGAGAATTTTCCCAATTTGATCAGTTAAATTTGCTTTCACACATTATGAACATAGCACTGTTGAAGGTCTGGAAATTCAAATAATGAGTCTAATCCTGCAGGAAACTTGTAGTGAGCAGACAAGCCTGTCCAAACACAGCTCAGTTACTTTAATTGAGGCCCGCTCATCTGCAACAAATAGCAACATCCAGAAGAGCACTGGGAAAATCAGAATTTTACCCTTCAGAAAAGCAACGTTTTCTTTAGTTCAGCAGTCACTAAATTTCCTTTCACCTATTCTCCTTAATTTTTTCCCCCACAATATGCTTAAACGATTATTGGATGTTATGTTCTTTCAGGAAATAATGTGTCCCTCTCTTACTGCCATAACTTCAGGCGTGTCTGTGGCTTCAGCACTCTCACATCCACACTGGTGTGTCACTGGATAAGCAGATTAAAGGTTACTTCTTTTCCCTTCAAATAATGCTTAAAATGCCTTAGCACAGTGCACATTATTGGGTGCTATGTTCTTTCAGGAAATAATGTGTTATTTTTGCCATAACTTCAGGTGTGTCTGTGGCTTCAGCACTTTCACATCTACACTGGTGTGTCACTTGATAAGCAGATTAAAGGTTACTTCTTTTCCCTTCAAATAATGCTTAAAATGCCTTAGCACACTGCACAGGTACTCCCTGGCTGTGCTTTGCTGTGTAGACCTTGCTGCTTTTCAAATACAATTTTATTAGTTTGCATTAGCATGTAGAAGACTGAAAAATCTGTCTCTCATTGGCTGCCATTATTTATGTTATTTTTATCTTTATTTCATGTACAGAAGAGATGTACATTATGGCTACTACTTCTTATGCTCTTCTTTGTTGATGAAAGTAAAAGTTTCAAGCTGGAAAGCATGGTTCAGAGATCTTCTGACTCACAGATTTATCTCAGGGTTTAATAGCCCGAAGCAGATTTTTATTCCATTAATTTTCCTGATTGTTTTGTTGCTTTTGAATTTACAGATGCCTTTGGTAAGGAGCTGTTAGGCCTTTTTTGGATACTTGTTTAGCACAGGGTACATGAACTGATACCTTGGGGCTGAACAACTTCCTGGTTATTTCCAATTAAGAGAGAGTATGGTGGTTACTCATAATGACACGTGTGGTAATGTCAAGGAATTGCTATAAAGAGACAAGAAAAAACTTATTATTTTGTGCATCAATGTTACAATTCTCTTGGACAGGGCATTCCTGTCCAGTGTGAGAGACACTGTGTCAGTGCAGAAGAAGAAGAAGAAGAAGAAGGTCTTCATCAAGAGGAAGGCTCACCAGAAAGTTCTTTCCCACAAGTCTCAGAAATATGTTTACCAGCAGGAACATTGAGCACCTTCTCAAAACAAAGTGCACAGCATAATTAACAGCTCTTTTGCTTTTGCAGTTACTCGCTGCTGTCGAGGACATTTCCTTACCACAGAAGATGGACTCTGGAAGTTTCAAAATGTACATATTACTGTGTATTTAGGGGACATTTAGAAGGCATGTGCTAAGCCCTCTGTTGCAGATAGAGATTTGTTCCAGTGTGAATTGCCTTCAGCTCCTGCAACAGAGCCTGGAAAATGGACTCCTCCCACACAGGGAAGCATCATCCTTGAAGAACAGAAATGTGTTTCTACCTGGAAAATTTACACTGTCTTTGAAGGAAAGGATTGAAGTCTTTGACTCAGTTCAGCTCTCTGTGTGGAAGGTAAGGTTGTCGTGTTTGTGGTAGTATGCATGGCTGGAAACAGCTCTAATTCCACTTTCCCAGAGTTTCCAAGGACTGATGCTCACGCAC